ACTACTACTACTACTACTACTCTTCTACTACTTACTACTACTACTACTACTACTACTACTACTACTACTACTACTACTACTACTACTACTACTACTACTACTACTACTACTACTACTACTACTACTACTACGACTGCTACCACCACCACTACTACTACGACTACTTCGACTACTACGACTACAACGACTACTACTACTACTACTACTACTACTACTACTACTACGAAACTACTGCCACCAAAGAGAAGACTACTCCTACGACTACAATTACGACGACTGCTACGACAACTACTGTTACTACTACTACTACTACTACTACTACTACTACTACTACTACTACTGCTACTGCTACTGTTACTGCTACTACTAACTATTACTACTACTACTACTACTACTACTACTACTACTACTACTACTACTACTACTACTACGACTACTACTACGACTACTGCTACAGCCACGACTACTACTACTACGACTACTGCTACTATACTACTACTATTACTACTACTACTACTACTACGGCTACCGCTACTACTACTACTACTACTACTACTACTACTACTACTACTACTACTACTACTACTACTACTACTACTCAGATCCATGAAACCTGCGCGGACCTCCAACAATCCGTTGTCCCACTCGGGAACAGCAGCAGCAGGAAGACGAGGAGCGGCAGGGGGAAGAAGAAGAAGAAGGCCAGTGGGGGCCGGGCAGTCCTCGAAGGCCCCCTCGGCGAGAATGCCACCGGGGAGGCGAAGCAGCCAAGGGCCCCCGCCCAGCCAGAGACGAGGAGGGGAAAAGCAAGACTTTTTTTGGTCTGCGGGGCGAAAGCGAACCTCTTCCAGTAAAACCTAGGCGGGCTACGCACAGATCTCAGGGGAACGCAAGACGCGCGAAGAGGAGGGGCAGGGAGCACCAGCCGGCGGCGGCGGCAGCAGCAGCGCGCCTGGCGCGGAGGCCCGGCGCCTCCGCCCCCGCTCCCGCGGCCTCCGCGCCGACCCCGGCGAGCGGCGGCGCGCGGCCTGCGCCGCGGCGGCGCGCGCCCTCGGCCATGGCGGCGCGGGCTCTCGCAGGGCGCGGCGGCGAGGGCTCTCGCAGGGCGCGGCGGCGGTGCGCGCGCCGCCGCCGCGGGCGGGGCCTGAGAGCGGGCGCGCGCGGCGGCCTCTGCCCGTGCGCGGCGCGCTGGGGGCGGCGCCCTCCTCCTCCTCCTCCTCCTCCTCCTCCTCCTCCCCTCCTCCTCCTCCTCCTCCTCCCCCCTCCTCCCCCTCCTCCGCTCCCTCCTCCTCCTCCTCCTCCTCCTCCTCCGCCTCCTCCTGCTTCTCCTGCTCCTCTTCCTCCGCCTGCTCCTCCTCCTTCTCCTTCTCCTCCTCGCGCGTCGCGCGTCGCGGCCTGTGCCGAATCGGCAGGCCCGAGGTCCCCCAGGGTCTCCAGGGAGGCCCCAGAGCACCCCTTACAGGGAGGTCGAAAAGCTGCGTCTCGACACAATCTTTCGGAGGTCCGCGCGGATCTCGCGGATCGGCGCTGGTCCAAGAAATCCGCGAGGGCATCCGACAGTCTATACTTGTGCAGATGTGTGTCCTTTGGCCCACGGAGTCTTGACTTCCGCCAGCCTTCCTCCCCAACGCAACACCATTGAAGGGTCACTCGGACGTCTTGCGGCGGTCCCGATAGCAACAACAAGTTGTAGGCGCAACTGGATTCTCAGAGAACTCGACACGAGCGGGGCGCGGGAGGGGGGCCTGGAGGCAGGTGGGCAGAAATTCCCTCACGGCAAACCTGCCCGCACGGTCCTACACTCGAGCACCCCCTCATTCGAGGGGGTGGCACAACGAGAGCAGCCACCACAGAGCCCTCGAGTTCCGCAAGTGGGCCCTCGCCCCAAAAGCACTAGAAGCGGCACTGCTACTCGCATTCGCTCTCACTGCTTCTTCGTACGCTTCGCCTTTTCTCCGCCCCCGCCTCCTTTGAACACCATCCCGACCAGCCATAACTGGGGGAGCTGTGGTCCTTACCCCCCTTGGGGAACCCATCGCATCGACGATCCCTCGAGAGGGGTGTCGAGATCGATGGGTCCCCCAGGGGAGTAAGGACCACAGCTCCCCCAATTGTGGCTGGCCTGTCATCTTCTCGAGCTGTTTTGTTCTGCGGTCTTGGACATCGGGGCTGCGTCGCCCTCCAGCACCACGCTCGCCGATTCCAGGCTGCCGTTGTCCTCGAGAAGGCACACGGCCTGCACCAGCGCTGGACGAGACATGGCTGCGAATATCCGCTTGGACTCCTCGACGGTCTCGCTCTCGGCCTCGGCGCCCATGTGGAGGTCGAATCAACGAGCTGCCTTGACCTTCACGCTTAGGTTGCCCATGCTTCTGCCGAACGGCACTACCGCCTCCAGGACCTCGAACGTGTCCGCGGGGATCGGGCCCTGGGAAAAGGCTTGCGGGACGTTCTCGGTCGCGGACTCGATCGCCTCGCAGCACGGCAGGCAGGCGCACGG